GTGTTAACAGTCCTGCAATTCTTGCTGTGGTACCTGCCTTGTATTTCTCTGAATAAATATTAAATTATGTTTAGAGAAATGCTTCAAAAAATCACTACTGTCCAGCCCTTAAAACAAGGCCTTATACAGGTAGTAAATAATAGCGAACTACATGGGAGAAAATACTGGTCTGTGGCTGAGAAGAGAAAACAGGGAGTGGACAGTTTTCAGAATATGTAATTATGAACAACTGAGTTAACTCAGTTTTTCAGTCATCATAGAGGAAGAATAGTCACAATTTTGAGGGATTGCTGGAACTTCCTTTGCCAACCCACATGTTAAGAATAATCCCAGCTTTAGAGCCTATGTTTTAAAAATGGTATCCTTAGCTGGTAAACATGATTTAAAAAAATGTAAGGACATTAGAATCAGTTTGTATCTTCATAACGTTAAAACATTTGAGAGTGAAAAATTGTCGCTCATCAGATGTTTGCTATGGAACACTTAACCGGCAGGCCCCGGGCAATAAAATGTGTGAAGTCAGAGTACGTTTTCCTCTGATACAGCATAATTCTTTCTCCCCTAACCTGGTTGGAAAACATATTTCATGGCTCTTCAATAGCAAAACAATATGTCTCATACTATACTCCTTTCTTTCCATTTCCAATGACCTTAAACCTGTATTATCTCTAACCTAAGCTGCTTTAATCTTTTTTTCCACTTAAAGAAACGAAGATCTTGATAAGCTCATCAAAGTGAATCCTGAAATTCTCACAAACAACCAAAGGTAATAGAATTACGTTATTTTTAAAGTGCTTTGGTCAGGAAGAATATTTTATTTTATTATTATTTCAAGCAGATTTATAACCTTAATGATCTTACCAAAAGAACTTCATAATTAACCTTTCTTTTTATTTTCCTATTTAAAGAAACCAAGGTCTTGATCACCTCGTCAAAGTGAATCCTGCAGTAGTCAGAAACAATCAGAGGTAATCGAATAAAAGCAGTCAATTCATGTTTTCATCTGTCTGTTGCCCCTGAATGAAGTGGATTTTTAATGTTGCTTTATTGACCTAGTACAACCCCAAAACCTATTACTAATCTGAACTTTTTTTCTTTCTCTTTTAAACAGCCAAGGCTTGGACAATCTTATTAAAGTGAAACCCTCAGCTCTCAGAAACATTAATCGGTAAATGACCTTGCCTGACTATCTGGACATGTTCCCAAGGTTCTAGGGTAGGAATTTTCTTTCTTTCCTGCTTCTCTTTCTTTCTTTCCTGCCCCTTCTTTCCTTCCTTCCTTCCTTCCTTCCTTCCTTCCTTCCTTCCTTCCTTCCTTCCTTCTTTCCTTCCTTCCTTCCTTCCTCCCTTCCTTCCTTCCTTTTGTCACTGGATATTGGGGTCTTTGAAGTAGGAAAGAGCAAATTCAGTTGAGCAATTGCGACTTAGAGAGTAGCATTTATTGAGCACCTAGGATGTGATTTGGCAAATTGTATACATATAATCCTCAGGACATACCATGAGAAATATATTCATGCACCCTTTTTATGGAAGGAGAAACTATAGCTCAAAGATACTAAATAACCTTCTCAAGAAAGAAAACACACTTTGGATCTAAACCTAGGTACTTCTGACGTTACAACCTAGAGAAAAACCAAAAGATCATTGGTTAAATCAGCTCAGATTTCCTTCTTTCCAGCTTTCATATCCCCTATTCTCCTCCCCTCCCCATGCCCAGTTAAAGGACTATAACCAGATATATTTATTCTAGAGAATTGTTAAAATGACAGGGAGGAGAGAAAGCATTTGCAGCATGGAGATTTTCTGATAGCTGAAGTAATAGCAGACTTTATGTGTGAACCCTGCTGCTGATAATTGTATGGAAATATCTTTATTAAGTAGAACCCTTTCTTTATAGAGGTATTTATTGGGCAAATTTTTCTTTTACCGGTAACAGTTTTGGGAAGTTCCCAATGATGTTGAAGGTGGTTAGATCTAATAACCACGTTGTATAATAGCTAACAGTGGGAAATGTAGTTTTTTTTTCTCTTTCTCTTATTTCTCCCCGTCTCTTCCTGCCTTTCTCCCTCCCCTCCACACCTCTTACCTCTCCCTCCCTCTGACAGATGTGCTATGCTGACAATGATAGCTTTCTCATAAGAGTTTTCCCTTTTGTTTTATTAGAAGAGGCTAATTTTCTAAAAGGGTAGTTTGTGTTTCAGCAACTCCTAAGCAAATTATCGATAGAAAGAGGACATTTTCTTTATACAGATACAGTTACCATAAAAAAGAAATTTAAAAATATTGGCCATCATGTTGTTTTAAGATAGCAGCTTGATCCACAAATCTAACCTAAGCTATGTCTGATTATTCTTTAGTAGTATACCAGATTTGGTGAGAGTCAGCAAGAATTATCACAGAGCAGACAAAACAGGAAAGATTAACAGTCTACTTGAAAAAAGTTACTTCATTCAATTGGTTCAGCTACCTGTATCTATAATGTATCCATGCAGCCCTCTTGATCTTAATGTAGGTAAAGAGAAGGATATTTTAAAGCACCTCCCAGTAGGAAGAACAGCCACACGGCACTTTTACATCAATTCAATGTGACATAAGCACTGATTATTTAATAGTATAACAGCAGTGAATCAGAGTTCTTTTATGTGACTTTGCTGACATTTCCAGCAGCTGTATATTTAATTCACAGTTAGGGGCTGAATAAAATTCAGTCATCGATCAGAATGTAAGCAGGCATTCCTGAGCTCTTTCTAGGAACACAATAATCAGAACAAACGCAGATGGGCATAGAATTTTCATTTATTCCATGAGAAATTGCATGACATTTAGCAGTAACAGTTTCACATTTTCATGAACCAACATTAAAGAGAGATATTCAGTTATCTGTAGCCTATAAACTGGTTAGACTAATTATTAAAACTCTCAAGTTCTGCTCTCAAATGAATATTGAAAAGGATCTAGTGACACTAAGACCTTCTCATTTAGGGAAGGCATCCTGCATCTAAAGTAGAAAAAAAAATTCTTAACTATTTGTGGTATTGTACTTCCATCTTTTCAAGGGCTTCCTGTTTGTCAAGATACCACCAAGTTTTTAGTATTTCAGTGAGAGAAGAGTTCCTTTCTGTCAACCTATTGTGTATTTCTCATATTTCTGCTCAAGACATAAACTTGGGGGTAAACTTGACTCTATTGCTTCATTCCCCATAATCAATCGGTCAATCACTTTGAGTGCTTCTCCTAATAATCTAAGATCCTTCGTCATGCCCACTGCTACTGTAGTCTAGATTATTCTTCAGACTCCCTCTGCTGCCAGTCTTGCCCTTTAATCCGTTCACCACACTGTGGCGTGATCTTCCTAAGACACAAATCCGATCATGTCATTCTTCTGATTTAACTCCTTCATTGGCTTCCCATTGGATAATGGCCACGTTAACCTGGTCTCCCACCATGATCTGGCCATCACCATCTCCTGTTGCTCTCCACCCACAAGCAAACCCCACCCACACACCCTCTAACTCGCACACTCTTCACTCCTCGTCCGTTGCTGTTGCGTGGATATCCTTCAGGTATCAGCTTAGGTGTCCTTCTCTCAGGTTCTGGGAAGTCCCCCAAGCCACCGTGTCTGCGTCAGGTGCTTCTTCTAGATGTTCTCAGGCTCTCCGTCTTTTCTGTCCCATAGCATTGGTCTCTTAGAAGGAGTTATTGTTTAATCATCCCTCTTTGGCTATAAGGGTAAGGACTGGATCTGTCTTGTTTATTTCTTTATCTATAGTGCGTAGCACAATGCCTGGCATATATTAGGTGTTTAACAAATATTCTGTTAATTGAAGGCTAAATCTCAAACTAATCAACACGTTGCGATAGTTCGCCTAGGTTAAGTCTGTTGCCATTCAGCTTTAACATTCTGAGCGCCCATGAATGAAACCAGATGGAAGGAATCTGATTTCTTATGACTGGTCTCCTTGCTTGAGCCAATAGCTGTCTTTTGCTCATGACAAAGAGTATATGAGTATAATCTCAATGAACTATAGTGAATTAGAGCCACTGAAATTCTTGGTCACATGTTATATTTAAAATACCTAAATTACCCAACTTCTCTATGGATTTGTGAATTTCTTTAATATAAAATATTTAAGAATCCCTAGCTGAAAAGAATGATAAAAATGTATAAAGATATATAAAGTTGGACCCATTTTGCTATGACAGTAAGTTGAAGAATTATACCAGTTTTCTCACTGTATTCTCTATTCCTTTCAGAAAGACAGATATTCCTTTTTATAATAACTTAAGCTAATGCCTAAGATTTAGTTCCTGCCATAAAAGAAATACCATAGAAAATTTTTTATGTGTGGCCTTTTAATTTTGTAAATGTGTTTGATACTCTACGAAAGCAATTAAAGTTAGCCATCTATAGAAGAACATATTGCCGCCTATTAATAAATACCCCCCACACCCACGTAGGAGAGGAAAAACAGTTAGGAGAGAGCTAATAACTTTCTTTCATGCAGAGCTTATTCTAGAAAAAGTGGTATAATAAGAGATATAATTCCTGGGTCCCCAGAATCTCTATTT